CTGATATAAGAGGCAACGATGCACATATATGAGATAAAAATATGATTATTTTATTCGATCAATTGATTTACGAAAATTTACGTTTGCTATTTTGCGTTCAGCAAAAAAAAAAAAAAAACAGTTTTGCAGATGAAAAATTTTTTAACATGCTTAGCTTACACATTTGGATCTATATAATAAGGTATAACTAAAGGCAAAATTAATAAATATAAAAGAACGTTATAAAAGTTGCAAGGCAGCTTTTCTGCTGAATGCAGTTATTGACTACATCGAGATACGTTGACTCATATATTTTAAGTAGCTACGATATCTAATTTATATTTTCGAATGCATAGGTCGAAATAGATCGCGTAGCAGCGCCTACGCATGCTTGGATGCTGCGAGCTACAAATCAGCGTCAACCATGTCCTCGTCATAGCCGACACATTGTTCGAGATGAAAAGCTATTATCGATGCAAATACGTGAAACGCGAAAACGAGATGCGCGTCGATGGTGGCGAGATGCTATCGCCTTCCTGGTTGATTCGAAAAGTCACCGAGATATTCGGAAACATTCCATTTCTCAGTTTTATGCGACGCGTTCGGATCCATTTACGCAAAAGCTGCTATACCCTTTTCACACGAAGAAAATGTTGTTAAAACGTCGTCCTCGACAGAGAAACTTGGCACTTGATTTCATCTAGAATTTAATGTAATCGTATAATTGTGCTAATGTTCCTATATACAATTACCGATATTGGAATATTGATAAATGTAATTAGCGTATCCGTACGTTGAGAGAGAATATCGTAAGCTTTTAACTTCGTATTATATTATATATACACATCTATATATAAGAATTAAGAAGAGATTTATGAGAATAAAATCTGCATATTTATTCTAAAAGAAAAAAATAGATTATAGTTCCACTTTTTAATCACGCGCAGGTAACTGGGACGCTTTTATTGTTGGTTCGATAAATACTAGCCCATTATACATATCTTTATTCTTTCCGTCTCTTTTAGGTCGTTTCCAATTTCATTAGAATTTCTAAATAATATGCGAGAAACTTTCAATGACACATAAAGTAGTATCCGTGAAAATTATAAGATTTTTTTTTGAGAATTAAATATAGCAAACATTGTGATCTCATTTCATAATCAAATGCATACGAGATGTCAATATCGCGAGTAGAATTAATCTTAATTAAACTTTTATTTATAGTATATACGTGACTTTTTTATTTTTTTTAAATCAAAATTTGACGTATTTTTTAACATAGTCTCCTTTTAAAAAGTCACTGATTATCAAACTGTTCAAGTATACATAGTTCTTGCGATTGATCTTGATTTTTTTATTTTATTTTACATCTTACATCATGGATGTGTTTACATTGACGTATTTATGATGCGATTGTCATTTTGCAATTGATCAAATCGCATTGAGAATGCGAGACTGTAAATCAATAATATTGATAATTTAATTGAATCGGTTATCTTGGAAAAAAGAGGAACTTTTTCAAATATGTCAAATTACTTATAAAATAAATAGTTTTATTTGTTACGAATAGTAATTGGTGTAGCAAGGAACCAAGTTGTAAGCAGGAAAAAAATATGTGTATGATACATGTAGTAAAATGTTATGTGCTGTAGAAAATTGAACGATAAATATTGACTTGGGGAGACTGACATCGAACTTCTGGAAAGCGTTAAGATAATATCTTAAAAACGTCAAGTGTCGGATATTACCAAGTATGCATTCAATATGGGCAAAGTCAGGATTATCACTTGGACGTCGCGGCATCAAGATGCGATACAACTTGTTATTACATCGTAACGTTACCAAAGAAGCTGTTATAGAATCGGTATCTGCAATATTTTTGTCAGACTTCTTTTTTCTCTCCTGTTTCTGTCTTTCTAATTAAAATCTTTTTTTAGAAATATGATTTATATCGGCTTGATAAAGGGCCGCTTCAGAAATCAACATTAAATATAAAAGATGCTACGTATGCACTGAAGACAATGAACTACATACGTCGGATGGAGAACAAAGCTGCAGAGTTGTACAGGCAGCGGCTCATTAATGGCTTCTTACACTTATACGTTGGTCAGGTAGATAAAAAAATCCAGATAGCGTGAACCAATAATTGTCGAGCGACATACTATACACATCGTGAGTAGAAGATGACAACACGATATTTGTAATATGTATCCTATAGGAAGCTATAGCTGTAGGTCTGAAAATGGCTCTAGCTGAACAAGATACTGTTATTACGGCATACAGATGTCATGGTTTCGCTGTTGTGTTCGGTATCTCGAGTCGCTCAGTTCTTGCGGAACTCATGGGTCGTAAGACAGGTGCGGCCAAGGGTAAGGGTGGTTCGATGCACATGTACGCCCCGCGATTTTACGGTGGCGACGGTATCGTCGGCGGACAGGTGAATGCGCTCTCACTTTTATTATTTTCGGTTCACATGGCTTAAATCTCATCGAGTGTTTATTAATCAGCGCTTACGATCAGGTACCTATCGGCACCGGTATAGCTTTAGCTCACAAGTACAATGGCACAGGTGCCGTATCCTTTACGTTGTATGGCGACGGTGCAGCTTCGCAGGGTCAAATTTATGAAGCTTGGAACATGGCGAAGCTCTGGAATCTACCGGCGGTCTACATCTGCGAAAATAATAGATACGGTATGGGTACAGCCGTGCATCGACATTCCGCCAACACTCGGCTTTATACACGCGGAGATCTCATACCAGGAATAAAAGTAAATGCGGATACTTACAAGCTTTCACATGCTCTGTCTAACAGCTCTGTTCTATTATTTAAAAAATAAAAAGCATTCTCTGGATGATGTAATGTCATGTCTATTACATCATCCAATACCCGCGCTACATGTATACATCCGTGATGTACATACATCCCGTCGTGTATAGGTTGATGGGATGAAAGTCATGGATGTACGAGAAGCCATACGCTTCAGCAGAGATTACGCACTCAGAAACGGCCCAATTGTGCTGGAAATGGCAACTTATCGTTATTTTGGACACAGTATGAGCGATCCTGGTTACTCGTATCGTAGTAGGGAAGAAATTAAGGCTGTGCAAACTGAGCAAGACCCAATCATGTTATTTGCCAAGCTAGTCGTACAGAAAGGCCTTATGACCGAAAAAGAAGTCGAAGTATATACTTAAAAAAAAAAGATATTCTCAAATTTTTAAATATATATATATATATATATTTTTAAAATTCTTTTTTAAAATTAACAAAAGTTATGCCTCAAATTGTAATTTACGACGACAGCTAACGCAAAATAATAAGTGTGTTTTGATTATTTATTGTGTGTTCAGGACATACGAACATCAGTCTACAAAGAAGTCGATCAGGAAGTGGAGCAAGCCAAGGCCGATCAGTGGCCGGAAATGTCGGAAATTTCGACCGACGTTTATGCCAAACCATTAGAAAAAATCCGTGGTAAAGTTCCTTGGGAATTACTTTGAAAGAAACGCCATATAAAGTTATTATAATTACTCTGTAATTTTTTATACTCTTTAATTTTTTATACTTATACGTAAGATTTAAATTACTTATGTTCAACATGTTCACATAATCATGTATATACTTTTGCTAAAAATATATCACACGTACAGAGGTAAAACGAGCGTATCTTTCAATGACTTTTAAAACTGTGGCGCGGCAATCTGAAACCTTTCAAAAACTGTCAATAAAATAAGTAATTCTTCTATTTTGACTAATAAGTATGGCCAAAAGTAACATTATAGTTGACGATATTCATATAGCAATCTATATTCTCGTTAGAAACGATTCATAAGAAACATTGTTTAGGTTTGGATGTTTAATAATACTCGCGTCTGTATTATCTTCTTATTGACTTTTTATGCCGCGAGTAAAGGGACAGTGCAAGCTACATTACATAGAAGAATCCTTTTGTGTCAAGTATATTCAACAGCATATTAATATACATATATAACAAACATACGAATTAGCGAATTAACTATATTTTTCTATTGATCTGCTATTGATCGACGAAAATGCAATCGATCTTTCGGTGATTTTACAACGTCTTACGAGATCGCGATTATAGATAGAGAGGACGCAGAGTAGAAGAGTGAGTCTTGTTGTTTCTTTCGTCAACGAAGAAGAAACGATCAATTAAAACTGATGATCGTTTTAAATGACGAAAGAGTGAGGAGAGAGCAGAACGGAGAACGGCAGACGACGAAATGATAGCGGAGAGATGGGACTCGATGAATGAGTCAGATCGTGAAAAAGGCGTAGGAGAAGCGCGGCGGAGCCAACATCGCAAAGCCAACTCGCGGAGACGTACGAGACTGGGCACGAACGTCTCTGCGGGAGTCGTCTTACGTCGTTCGCACGTGTCACGTCGCGCTAATTGAATTCTAACGAGACGACAGTCGCTTGAAGATACATGGACGATATCGAATCCGAGGGTCATCCGAGACTCAGCGCACCTCTATCCACCAACGTTCCTTTCATTTTAACCGCGCAGGCACGCGGTTCAAACGAATCTCTTCGTCCTGCGTGATTCTCTCGAGTGGTCTCAGGGCAAGTATCCTATTTTTTTTTCTCTTATAAATTCCCTTTTCGGTATATCCCTCCATATTATATTCTATCTTGCCGCTCGCAGAGAGTCCAATTCCAGTTTCTACTTATAATTTGTGCTACGCCACTAAGTTTGACATTTAATTAGAGCTGAAAATTAATTAAAGTTTAAGCAAAAGCTATGGCGGATGGATCGAAAGGGCGGTGAGTTTGCGGTTTTGAGAGTTTGCGGAATAAAGAATGAGTGATCTAAGGTGGACGGACGAATGGTTGATCGTTGAAAGTTAATAAAACTCAACGGGCAACGCGGCCGCGTCATCGAGTAAAGCGCTCAAGGAATTCTTCGTCTGAATAGACAACGATAACTCGGATCGAAGTGACTTGGACGACGCCGTCTTTTTGCGCCGGATATAGAAAGGCGATCTACATGTCATATTAATGACTATCATTCTTTCCATTTCTGGTGCAAAACATCTACATATATTATACGTTGTACGTTGTATAACTTTAATATATTTTACGTTGTATTCTTGAATTAATACATACTGCGTCAATTACTTTATATATTCTACATTGTTGATGAACTATTTTTATTACGGTAAATACACGTTAAATTATGTAGAACAATAGATACGAGATAGGAAATATCTCACTTATATGGTTTATACTGTTGAAAACTTAAATGCTTGATAAAGCCTTATCTGCAATGGTTGTATCTCGCGGTACATCCTGTAGAAACTAAAAGATATAAAAATACCACTAATATAAGCGCAGAGTGAATTCTATAATATACTAGAACGCACTGTTAAAACTGCAGCCCGACAGGAGCAAAAGGAGGTGAATAAATACTTGTTTTTCTGACTCTTTTCTACAAAAAAAAAATCATTAGCCAATCAACGAGTCCTTGACAGAGAAAATAGTATCACAATGTTTACATTAGAGTGTCATTATTAGGAATTGAGTGAAACACCTTTACTCTTCGATGATGCGCTCCAGTATATTATAGAGCTGACTAGCTAATATAAATAGTAAGCTTTACCATTGTGTTATAAATCTTTTTGACGGTAAATTTCAGGCTTCTTCGTAATTATTTCTTAAAAGCAAGCACGTGAGCGCGCTGGCACAGGTACAACAATATGGAAATCGACATGAATATTAATGATATATTGCAAGTACTACGAGGTATGTATATTTAAATAGAACAGCAAACACAAGAAATTTTTTTTAATCTTTCGCGCAAATGAATGTAGACTTGAATGTTGTGCTCTTCTGTATGCGCTTTACGAGATGTGTATGTATATATAGTGTTTCTTAAATAACGACCTAATCGTATAGTGCTAGATTCTTGATAAAAAAAATGAGTCGAAAAGTCTCCTATCATTTTGCAATTTCCATAATATAAATTAATTTCTAAAGATAGCCGAATAGATGCATAAAACAATTTTAAGGTATCTTTCAGTGTTTTGTGAAATATTTTGAAGACGTTCCTCAAAGAACTCTTAATACCTTAAAGTTGTCTTATATGCATCGATTTCAAACATTTGGTTTATCGCGCTGAAGAAAAAGAAGATTGGCTGAATATGGCATAGCATTTTTAATTGATTGCAGCAGTCAAATTTTTAGCCTATATCGAAATCCTATAGTAACATTGCGAATATAGGCTGAAGCAAAATATGGCTGCTACAATCAAATTAAAACCGCTATGCTATATTTTACCACCTGATTTGCTGCAGCAGTCAATCTTTCCTTTCAGCGCGGGTAATTAAAAAAAATATTACGAAAGTTGCAAAACGATAAAAGATATTTTGACTGTTTTTTTTATCAGGAATGCACTATGATTATATGGGCGTTATTTAAGAAACACCCTATATATTTTTTTTCTGTTGCCAGAAATGATAACGTTTCTGGAATGTCTCGGCGATGCGCAGCTTCCACTTATACTCGAAAACTTACGGGAGAAGCTGTTGATACGATCGAAGAACACTCTAAGCGTCACAATGGCTCGAGCGTCATCCCCGGAACCTTACTTGGATATGAAGTCCGGACCGAGAAGCTTATTGTTGACCAAGAGTAAAACCGATTCAGAAGAATACGTCGGAATGGAAGAATCTCAAAAGAAAAGTATCCTTCGCACGCACACTCATCAGGATTATTACGAAACCTTCGAAAACAACGGCTCTCTCCAGACTGCGAGCGTGTCATCAGTCACGAATCTCAAGCAAAGCAACGATCATGACGAGGGGGGCCAGACGCTGATCGGAATTTACAAGAACGTTTCGGCGATGCAAATTAAAAGCAAGTGTCACAAATGCGGCCCGCTCTACAGGAAAGAAGGGAAGAAGTTGTTTCTATCGGAAAACCGTGCCTGCTGGATGGCATTGGTTGGATCACACCTGCTCATCTATCGAAGCGAACGGCACAATCGACCGTACGCGATCTATCCGATTCGGGGTTACAGAGCCCGCCCGGCACCAAACATGATTCCCCGTGATCGACAAAAGAGCGAATCAGCCTTCGAGATATACAGCCCTGGAAACGAAACGTTACAGTTTATCGCGAGGACGCCCAAGGACATGGACCAATGGGTAACGAAGATCAGCGAAATGGAATGTCACAATGAGAGCGAAAGGAGCAAAGCAGTGGAAGCTCGCGAAAAGAAAAGGCAGACTGCTATCGTCAAATCTCCGCTGACGGATCACAGTTGTAGTAACGAGGGAACGCGACCTCGAGATGCTGAAAAATTAGCTATCGTCGATGACTCAACGGCCAAAGCCGAATTGGCGAATAACAAAGTTGAGCGAAAAGAGAACGCAGATGAAAGGGCTCCTGCGTTACCTGCTCGAATACCTCGAAGACTTCCCTCTTTACCTCCCGATAACGATAGTCTCACGGTATCCTCTTACAGAGCGACCGTCGAGGGTGACGACGACGACGATGATGACATTTATCACAGAATCGAAGACCTGAGGAATGAAATGCGTTATCAAAATGTAGCAATGCCGAAAGAAAAGCAGGCTAATGACGAGAATCGGAAGCAATCTATCGCGTACGACGACATTGGTGCGCGTAATGAAAAAAACGAGAGAAATGAGAAGATGGAGGAGGGTAAGTCCTGTGACACAGTATCGTCTCAAGAGACGTACGACGATATCGTTACACTTTCGCGAACAGACGCTACGAAGATCGAGTCGAAACGGAACCTGGATAACGATTCATCTATCGATGTAGCTACTGTTGATGGGGCGATCGAGAAAAGAGAAGAGTTTTACGACGATGTGCAAGTAAGTCTAGTTCTAATGATTGCAATTAACGCTTTGTGAAGACACACAATTGATGTTTTCCAGCAAGCGACACGGTGTGACACAGTGATCGTGTCATCTTCGTTTGACATTTACAAACAACAGGATGTAATGATTCACTGTGTTATACTGTGTCATCTGTGTCTCTTGCTGGAAAGCGCCCAATGTTACTCTCTCTTTCTGTCAGTGAAGCGATAAAAGTGAATTTTTACTACTCTATTAAGCCTGATCTATGATTGCGTAAACGTAGTTGTAATTGTAAGAATTTTGAGCTATCACAGTTGAATACGAGAGTATTTTACTACGCGATCTGTGTATTTTCGCACAGTTACGACTATTTTTAACTATATTTACGCAATTTTAAATCAAATATTACAGTTACTCTAATAAATAACTAACCAAAACTTGTAGAAATAATGCAAGTGCAAAGGTATGTAGTAAAATAACATAAATTCATTTTGTTTCGATATAGAGCTTGATTCCACACGGGAGATCCGCCAAAGATCGTGTCAAGATCGAGAAAGAAACATCGAGCAAGCTTCAACCGAAAAAGTCTTTTCTGGATAGAGTTTTAAGCAGAAAAGAATGTCCCAGCAAAGAAACGGACAAGAGAGAGAGATATCGTTACAAGAATAAAGTTTCGTCGAATCCAGCATCACCTTTGGATACGGGAAAAATGCCTACTTACGACGACGTGTCCGATCTAATAACGAAACAGGATCACCAGGCAGGATCCTTGACGGACGAAAGTGAGGAATTGCCGGAATATAATCATCCTCCTCCACCGAGGCCAATTTACCAAGTAAAATTGCCCGCGGAAAGCCAAAGTACTGATGAAACGCAAGAATTATACGACGATGTTAGCGGCTATCAAGAACAACATAAAAATTCTGAGCAGGTAAAATGTCTAACTACGATGATAAGAGTCCGTTTGTTCGATTAATAGAAATGTGCTTAATTGAAATTCTTTTTCGGTAGCAACTAATCTTGCAGTTGACACGGGATTTATGTACGAAAGTAAACGAAGCTGAATGCAACGCGACGCAGGATACAGAATCGGAAACGAATGCCCGAGAAGAGCTGGAGCATTATCAGTCACCAAAAAGCGACTTGTGTATTCGCGACGATACCGATCAGAATGAAGAATTGTACGACGATATAGCGTTGTGGGCCGACTTCACGGCACGACAAAGAGACACTGGCAAGAGAGAGACCGACGATGCTAAATCGGTCAGCATAGACAAAAAAGCCTGGAATCGATTTGCCGTCAACCGAAAATCACGAGTCACGAGCGACTTCAACTGCTCCACCGAGCCAAATAGACGTGGCGGTAACGAGGGAAGCGACGAGATCGAGGATTCGCCTGAGAACAGTGGGGCGATCAAAAGGAACACCTTTCAAAAATTGATCAGCAGAATGGAAAACTCTCTCGCTAAAGTTTCCGCGAGAAATCCGTCTTCGCTATCGACGAGCAAGTCAAGTGTAACGAGTAATAACTCGTAAAGCTCGGATTTGTACCAACTTATATAATATATAAGTACAGCTTTATACGTGTAGAAGATTAACTTACGTATAATTAATACGCAAATACATATATAATAAAGCAAATATTCTTTGTCTCTTTTCCTGTGTTATAACTATTGCATTGAAAAAAAAGATTGGCTGAATCTGGCATAGCATTTTTCAGTCGCAACAACTATACTGCGGATGACTGACGCAACCAAAAATTGGATACTTTTAGCCAATTAAAAACGCTATGTATTAAAAATGCCATGTTTTATCATCCAAATTACTGCAGCAGCTAATCCTTTTCTTTCAGTGTACTAAATGCGCACTTAATAAAGCGCTTTATTCGCGAGCAAAGGCTAGGAAAATAAAATTTCAAGAATCTCGCCGTTTTGCGTTGCACTCGGATACACATGATAAGCCGTTACTTAAGTTTTCAATCTTAAACCGTATATTAAGAAATTGACCAGCCACAGCTGAATATAAAAGAAATAAATTGAAAAATTCAAGGGCTCTTTATATAACAATAATCAATAACATTAAAAAGGGCGAAGTAAGAGTCAAATTACAATTAAAAATCTAAATTTCTTTGGTATTTATTCTAATATATTGCGAAGAATATCACGTAATTTTGGCCGGCTAAAATAAAAATAATCGACTATGATTGATCCATTTCTTACAGCTTGAGACTCAATGCTTTTAGATAATAGCTTATTGTAGAAAGCTTAGTAGAGTTTACAGGAAGCTTTCCAACAAGAGACACAGATATGTAACATAATCATTTATTATCCTTAATATTCGCCAAGAATAAGGATAAAATGATCCCTGTGTTACACAGTGTTACTCGTTGAAAAAGTTCCCGTCTACTTATTCTGAAGAAAAACTCATAAAATATGCATATAAGTATATAAAATAACCAGTGCAGCGATTAAGAAGCATGATAAAGTCCTTTCTTACATTATAGGAATTGTTAGAGTTATCGCTAATTTTGAGCGATATCTAATCATTTATTATATATATTTATATAGCGCATACAAGCGCGAATGCAATTTCAAGAAAATATGAAATTATAATGAAATGAGATAATTGTCTTTCAAACCTTTCCTGTTGTCCTTTTGAGCAATCTACGCTGTTCTACGCGTGTAGTACATTTTGATGACAACCATATATTCGTAAATTTTTCGCCCTTTGCCTCGTACAGGTAATCGAATTTCGGAGCGCGATACGTTGAACTGTGCGTTCCAAAACTCGGATCTGTTCGGTCGACCCCATAAGCCCTCGACTCAAAGTGGTACAGTGTATACATACGAGGTGATGCTGAATGACATACATAGTATACGTGAGCTGCGAAGAGCAGAAACGGCGGCGGCGGCGCGCGGTGGGGAACGAAGCAAGACGGAACGAGTTGACGACAAGCCGACATTCCGCGGACATTCGGAAAGGAGCGAGTGGCAGCGAGGCGACACACTCTCTGTCAGCACGAGACCGTGACATGGTGGAACGAAAGCCGCGCACCGCGCGGAATTTAACATCGACGTATCGTTAAAATCTGCAACGTACGTACGCTGGAAAATGCTTTTTCAATTTGGAACGAATAGGTACGCATCCTGCGTATATCTATATGTATTGTGTTTCTGTGTGTATGCGCGCCAGAGTAAGGTTTTAGAACGCACAGCAGCTGATGCGTAAAAATGGCCGGTACCGATCAGTGATTACGATAGTCAACCGCATATTCACTGATGTTCACGATACAAGTGGATAGGGCCACAGTAGCGTTTGAATTATCTAACACCACTTAGCATGTAAGAGGCAAAAATGAGAGCGTTATCGTAACTAGAATCGTTTTCGATGAATGCAGACAAATTCGCCCAAACCCCTTGACAGTACCGACACTGCCGACGACGACGACGACTCCTCGACAATGCGGAAACGTTCGTTTCGCCAGAGGAGCATCGAAAAAACGACGAGATGAGCGTGATAGAAACAACGGAATTGCACGCGGCGATTGTATTTTTTACGATGATGCTGTTGCAGTAAGACGTTTTTTTTTCAAATCTCTCAATACACCATAATTCTCACACTACATGACAGCTGCGTGACAGCATATACATATATATATATAATAGGCTCAATAAGTCTCTTTAAATTTCCATTCTTCTTTCTTTTTTTTAGGCGACACTGCAGATATTGCAGATATTACTGTAGACATCACAGATGTCGTATATGTGATTAATATCGACAAGTAATTTCTCGAAAGTGGGTACTAAGAAATACTCCCAAACTTCTTTACTTGGTATAATGGCTTACGATCCACGTAACGTGAAACATCCACCAAATACCTCGCAGCGGTCCAACGTGGTTGGATACAGTTATTCTGGCCATCCACCGCAGCATTTCCAGCAAACCGATGAAAATCGGAATGAAAACAATTTGCGCAGCAGCAAAGAACTCTGTCCACAGATCTCACAGCAGTCATCCAGTACACAGACTGTGCAGAAAGTAGACGCTGCGACTATGACGGATCCTTTGCAAATTGATTTTAGGCTTTCGGAATGCCTGGCACGTTGCTCTAGTACGCTAGGTTTACCATACGCGACTAAATACGAGGACTGTGGCACAAATACTACGTATCCAGAAGTAAAAACAAAAATCGAATTTGATATTGAACCGCAGCATATTAATGGTGAGTCGCAGTTAATATTTTATACCGAAACAGCCTTTCGTTTGTAAATTGTAATTGCATATGATAAGATATTTATATGGAATGCTGAAAATATTTGCCTGTATTTCATTGTTCACAATTCTATTAATTCTATATAATGTATAATATAATATATTCTATGCAAGGTATGTTGGTTTACCATTGCCCCGAGTGCGCATATAGATTTGATGATCAGGAGGCACTTCACGAACACCTTGAAGATCATAAACAGAGACCACATATCTGTGATATTTGCGGGGCATGCTTGAAACGAAAGGAACACTTGGATCGCCATAAGCAAGGTCATAATAAAGATAGACCGTATCAATGTAACATGTGTTGTAAAGCATTTAAACGTAACGAGCACTTGGCACGTCATATGATTACTCACTCAGGTAGTAAAAATCAAATTTGTACCGAATGTGGTAAAGCTTTCTATAGAAAAGATCACTTGAAGAAACATTTGCAAAGTCATAATAGTAGTCGAGGCAAACACTTGAATATTTCACAAAACAATCCCAACGATCAACAGCCGAGCGACCAAGGATTGAGTAGTTTTGCTATGATGATGAGGCAATCTGGTCCTCCTGCCCTTTCAATTTTACGGACATAGTTATTATGCTAGAATTACGTGCGTTCTTATCTCCGTCAGCAAGTCATTTTTACTTTACTATTTAGATAATTTTATTCTATAAGCTTTAATACGCGAATGAGCCTTATCCAACATACTCAACTTTACGCGCGCCAAGTACTTTCCTAGATAATTTGTTATCTATATAAGAACTCATGTTCCTAAGGGAATACACCTTATTGCTGTGTATTTTGTCAACAGGTAGATAAGATTACGATAATGTTGTATATCGTTTTTGTAATGTCCTTTATAATACACTGTACGTGTAGAATGTTGTCTGTATATTAAGAATGTACCTGTTGGCATTTTTTTAAACTTGAACAAGTCGATATCAGTTCAAAGTGATAAATGACATATTTTGCTTTATTGCGTTATTCCTAGTCTTTTTATTCTTGGAAGAAATCTTGGAAAAATTAGAGTATCCGATAAATTTTTTGCTTCTACCATATATCAACAGCTACGTTATATTATCGTCTACATCGAGACTCTGTTCTTAAACAGAATCGAGTTTAAGATTTAGTCTTTATGCTTCTTATCTGAAAGCAATATTCTTCGTTTCTTCAAGAGATCAATTTACAAACGTAGGCATTACAAGACAATAGAAATTAATTGTGAAATACAAATATGTTAAATATCTTCCTAAGCGGAGGAGAAAGAATAATGTCAATATAATTTGACAATACAACGCAATAACATGTTGCTTCTACAAGTCATCGATTTTTCTTTACTCCTCCTTTACTTATGAAGTAAGGAATTGAGAGGCAGATTAACGTTATGTTGTAACAGTGTTTTCAATGTCATATATATACATACATATATATATATATATATATGTACATGTAAATAAAAATATGTAATTTTCTTTACATCTTTTCGTGAATGTTAAATATTTCTATCGCATATTTGGAATAATTTATATAATAAGTTTGCACAGTGATTAATAAGAAAGCGTAATAGTATAGTATTTTTGCAATTTGTAGCAAGAATTAACAGATTATTATTGTAGAGCGTTCTGTAGCGAAAAATGAAAATATCATACCTACAGTGGATTGATACATATCTGTAGATAAAAAATATCGTTGCTTGAGAGGAAGAACGGTATTTATCTGTTTATACATATGTACTGTTAAAAATAATTTTATGTCTTTCAAAGACTTGTTAGTGTATAAAATAATCCCGTCTCATTTTACTTTCGTAATTATTACGCGAAGAGAATATATTCTATTTGAATATATCAGGATATTTATTTTACGAAAGAAAAGCTATAAGATAATGTCGATGCTTCCATTTCCAACATTGGTAATACGTTAAATCCGTTATGAGGTTCCGTATACGTTGCATTTGTATGAAAATTCGTAATTTTATTGGCATTTTCTTATTATATCGCTAAGTTGCGCTTCTGTATATTGCATTCAGCCATGCATACACGGACACAAACGTATGTACGAGAGAAGAACAGGATCTAAAAGTCGCTGAAGAGAGGAAACGATAGCATTTTGTCATTAATGCAGTAATCATAATTAAATTAATAAACGATTATTATATAAAAATATCTACCTCGTTTATACACAATTATTAATACATAGTTATTAGGAATGCAAAAACGCATATTCAAATTGGTCATTAATTTTAGCGTCATTCTTGCGCACAAGACCAAAAAAGATAGAAAGCAACGGGAAGGAAGGGGGAGAGAAAGAAAGAGAGAGCGCTACATTTTTTGGGGGGTAATAGCTCTCTGAAA